GTCCATTTACGTATATGTAGATGTGACCATCTGCAAAAAATCACTAGTGCACGTTGTACCTGTTAGTATTTGCACCTTTATGAGCAGGTAGGGCTACATTTCTTCAATAAGGGTTTCCGGCTTTACCTATCTAGTCTACTCTTGTATAATGATTTATAATTCTAGTCAAAACAATGAAAATATTGGCTCATGCCCGACAGTTTGGGTGACCTTCCCCCTCTACCGGTAACACAGACAACTTCGCGTTAAATTTCAGAGAATCTTAATCATATTATCACCTACACTTTACTCTTAACCTTAGTTCTAATCTAAGCTCACATCATCTCCCCACCTGAAGCCTTATCTCTGCTGAATTTGGCGTGTCTTGCCACATTTTTGCTCAGTTACGAATCCAAATAGGCGTATGAGTCTGAACGGGCAGTTTGCAGAAACGGCGCAAGACTGGCACTTTCTCTTAATCCAGCAAATTCTAGACTGCGTGTAGAAAAACAAAATGGTGTGACAGTTCTGCCAACAAGTCTAATCAATACCTACGCCGGTAAGTCAACGTGTGGTGGCGCACTGTGACATTGCGCACCTCTCGCCATCTGCGATATGCAGAGCACTAGCGTGTATAGCACACTACACCTCCACGCCCATTCGTGGCGTTTGACGATCAAAAGCTAAACTTTTTGCTACATCAGCAGTAGCATCTTATGCATCTAAAGGGAGGCAAATTGGGCATTAGGCACGTCGTAACGTTACACTTTACTTAATTTGGGAAGGGGCGGGTTGAGAAGCTCATTTACCAAACCGATTGTGTATCATGAACAAGTGCTTTCTAGCATCACAACCAATGTTTCCTCAAACGCCCATCATGCAGCCAGTCAGTTTGCCTACCTTCCAACCAGTTCAAGGTTCTCCTGTTAGGTTCATGATTGTGGATCGCTGCGTAGTGCCTAGACTGTGGGTCTGACTATATTCTCGTTTCTACACCCCAACAGATGCTCCCTGTTACTTCATTTGTTAAAGGATGGCGCGAGGGTCGCTGTAGTGATTAATGGTAGAAAGTTTCGTGTCCACTAGGGGCAAAAATTTCAGCTACTTTTCTAGATAGTAGTTTGAAGAAGTAGGGTCAGCGAATTCGAAACTTCAAACAACTAGATAAATCCTGATTTATGTCGCTGTTGGGATTGAGTAATGTCGACTTGACTCGTTTGGACAACTTTTGTCCTCCTGGGCCTAGACTGTCACTAACTTATTTGAACCTGGCTGTGGTTTGCAGGATTTAGCTCCCAAACAGAGTTAGCATACAGTGATCAACGATCGATCAAGTTAGGGTTCATTAGAAGTAATTCATTTTGCACAGAACCTCAGGTTGCTGACAGGGCATGTATAAAAGGGAGTTTTTCGGTAGTGCCAAAACGCGGCCGGGATGCTCACAGTCAAAACCTTATGGGCCCGGTATGAGTGACGGGTGGTGGCGTAGCCGTCTGTTGGTGTGGCTGTC